GAAAAGTTTTCAAATAACCAATTAAATTATAACCGATACTTCGCTTGTCTCGAGAATACAATGTTTAAAATTCATCAACCACCTAATTTACATGTTTATTTCTTATACTTTGTTAACTGAAGATTCGCAGATACCGGTGGCAATGGAGAATTATGCATTTATTCTAACGTTCTGAACTGTTATATAGAATGTTGTACGTTGATTGATAAAATTTATGTAATTGTAGATAATTCTGAGTAATTTCATTGTCTTTATTAATATTTAAACCTAAATATATGTCCCTTTTTGGCGGCTGAAATGACTGATGCTTTCTTCATAATCTATTTAAGTGAATATCTATTCTCATAAATGAATGCTAGTAAAATCTATAAGACTAATAAAATCTTGCTTAAAACATTTTTTGTGATGCATACAATATCTATATATGATGGCCTCGCAGATCTGGGTAGTTAGTTCGTCTAGTTGAACACACTGTTTTATTCCGATGGTCGCAGGTTCGATTCTTCGTACGGTACAAACATTTCATCTGTATAATTATTTCACAACTAAGATTGGGATAAGATGGCGTTGCGTTGTGCTTAGCTATCTCTATAATAATAAATATTATAAACGGAAAAAACGTAATTACGGATCGAGTAAATCCATTACCAGGATCTCGTCACTAATTCGAACTATCGGAAGCTCAAAAATCACATTAAATATCCCCATTTGTATAAAGTATTGAACTGAAAAACAATTTAGTTCGCCATCCCCAAAATCCATCGTGTTATCGCGAACTTGTATACTCAAAGTCTTCCAATATTGCAGTAAATCAGTGCGTTTTCTAAAAGACCACACTTTTATAATACAATGTTTAAACCCTACCGAACGTAGAGACAGGAATGGACGAAGGGCGGCGAGATTTATGAGCGGATATTTCATCTGCGGCCAGCGGCGATAGCGTGATGTGACCACCCCGTGACCCCACCCTGTGCCTCCCCAAGCGCTTGGACGTTTAAAAAAGTGGTTAACATCTTTATGTATATCACTGGGTAGCTGTTTGAAATGGAATCGTCCGCGCGTTATCTCCAGATTCCTTTACAATTTATCTATTTATGGTTTCTCATGCATTAATGAAATCGTTACAAAATTCCTATAGTATTAGTAAATTAGATGATACCTGCGACTTCGTCCGCGTGTAAACTAACTTTCTTTTAATTCAATTTATAAATTTTCTAAAATAGACGTACTTTGTCTGCGTGGAAATTAACTTGTTTTTCTATAAATTTAACAAAATTTCTAATATAAAAGAAGTTTAAGTTACTTCTTATAACATTAGCAACCTGCGGGTGAATGTCCAGTCAAAATTGGTCGAACCGTTTCAGAGATTTCTAGTGGATTGTAAGATGAGCATGAGGTTAGGTCTGTTTGCCCTTCGTGATATAATAACCAGGACTTAACCATAGTTTCCAGAGGGAACCGCTTAGAGGTTTACCTGACATGGTACATTGCTAGCAATGGGGTTCTTATTTCTCCCTAAAAAGGACTTTGGAAAAGAGAACCAAGAGTTATTGGCTTTATTACTTTTATATTTGATCTGTCTATCTTCACGCTAGATCAATGTGAGGATTGGAAAGAACTCTTGCTGGGAAGAGAGAGAGATTGGAGTTCCATTGGTTCTATCTTTACACAGAATGCTTTCTTCTATAATATTCAGAATTCGTCTCAGGCCAAGAAGTTCCGGAGATTCTCGTGTTCTTTATCAGGCAACATACTATCAATTTAATATTATATTATACTCTTTTAAATTTGACGCGGTCATTATATACGTACAATTAGGAAAAATCTCATGAAACTTGATAAGATCCTGTGATTTTTTCTAGCTGTAAGTATACAAGCTATTATTTTGAAGAAATATATATATCTTAGTTACAGTAGAGATATAAAAGGAGATATATTTCACGCCAGCAGCCTTATATAATCGCATGAAAAACCTGTCCTCGCTTGACAAAACTGGGTCAGCTGCTTATTACGTAAAAAACCATATTTCCTGACACGATCGCAAAAAAAAACCATTTCGCTCCACGTTCACTGATATTGCCTATCTAGACTGTTGATAAATTCTAGATAGTTCTAGTAGCCGTTATCACACATTATATGTAAGAGAAATAGATATGAATCTTGACCTGGTATCTATAGGTTTTTTTAGTTATTGAGTAGTTCTAAACGACCTGTCCTTGCTATTTAATATGGATGACGACACGACATCATTTATGGAGGCATTTGTTGTATTTGAACTCTAATTTCCGTTTATTTAAAGATATTCTATGAGATTGTTAATTTTTTTTAGATAGTTCTAATTCTTTATTCTCTTTTTCTTTGATCGAATATCATAGAAGTTAGATTTTTATTTTCCCTTTATTTTTGGACCTTTTGTAACAGTTAAGCTCTAATTTAGTGATCGAGCTCTAAAGATATTCTATAGATATTGAATATCAATATATATCAAATAGATTTTATATATTTTTTCTCTTTATTTAGGAGCTTAAGGTTACAATTCTGAAGATATTAGCTCTGTTATAGGTTCTAAATTCATTACATACATAACATATACGTTAATAGAAAATGAAAATACTTCATTTTACTCTAAACTACGCTAAATAATTCGAACCCTTGTTACAAAATCTGTTTATTAATGCCTTGAAACGTTCAGGTTTTAATATAGTCGGATCTTAATAGTGCCATGGACAATCTAGTGACGGTAGTTGGTAAACTGCTGGCAACTACCGACATGACATCGCTATCTTCTAGTCAGTTTAATTGAACCGTCGAAAGAAGTAATATATGGTTTCAATTCATATACGTTAGAAGTATAAGATGCTTAAGCATTTTGTTTTACGGTACGCTGAATAACTTGGACCGTAGTTACAAAAACTGTTTATTAATACTTATAAACTTTCGGGTTTTAATATAGTCAGGTCTTAATAATGCCATGATCTCTTTAGACAATTTAGTGACGGTAGTTGGATAAACTGCTGACAGCTTGACATTGACATGGCTGTACTCCATTCAATTTTTGATCACATCCAGTACAGTCCAGTCGAATAGTCGAAAGAGGTACTCGCCCGGGTGTACAATGTACATGTATTATACATATAAACCTTCCTCTTGAATCACTCAGTCTATTTAAAAAACCGCTTCAAAATCCGTTGCGTAGTTTTAAAGATTTAAGCATACATAAGGACGGACAGAGAGCGACAGCGACTTTGTTTGTTTGTTTATATGTTTTGTATTTCTATATAGTAATATCTTTACATTATTTGTATATAATAATGATATTATTATATACAAATATTGATAGTGTAATAGAATATTTCACAAATGGTTCACATTACCTCTACACGTTTATTTCTAAATCTACAATAACATCAAATACGGATATTTTCATATTTATTACATTGATGATTATTAGCTACCTATAAAAATCTAATTATTAGAGGATTTCTCAGAATATATACGCAGATCTAATTAGCAACGATATTATTAATGTTTCTCAGGATGCTTACTCCAATACCTCTACTAATTATATCGCTAGATTCATTTCACAATTGTTTATCTTAAGTTTGATCTGACATTATACTGACTTGTTTTTTTTCGGACTACTCTCTTTGCTTCTCCGCAATGGCAATACATGACTGTTATCATTGATAACGTGATATTCCTAATGGGATTACTTGCCATCACGTGCGCCGTTAACTTGATAATTTGACATTTAAGCAACTAAAGACAACACGTTTTGAAGAAATTATAATTTTTTTTTTTAATTTTGAAGTTCATTCTTATGAAATGCTTACTTTGAAATAAATCTATGGTCGATATAAAATTTTCTCTTTATTTTCATTGTAGTTTTGTGTGTCAGGCAACCATTTTTATTTGTATAAATGAGATTTTATGTTACGATTTTAGTACTAATATTACTTTTATTTTTATCTTATTTTACACTATATGTTATCTCAAGCGTCGTCTGCTTTTTAAGATAAAAGATAGAGAATGTCCGTCCTCAGGATACAGTCCATCATCATGTCTTTCATTGAGAACTATTCACCCGTTTAGTCGTGGTATAGTAATAAGTAATAAATAGACAGAACGCAGTTGACAGATTTTACCGCTAGTAAATAAATAACATAGAAATAGAAATAATCTGTATTCCAATAAAAGTTTATTTGAAGAAAGAATGAAGAAGAAGAATAAGAAGAAAGGATTATTTATATTAAGTAATATAAACATTTTTGAATAGTTATATTTTTTTAATTCTACCACTCATTCGGAACGCAGACTCATCACAAGAAGAACGAGCAAGAAACTTGCGTGTTGCTCTTTTAAATAAATATTATTGAGAATTACATTTTTAAGAATTTTGTATGAATACAAACTGCTGAATAACAAAGTTATTATTATAAATAAATAGTTATATTTGAGTAACAAAATAAATCAGTTATAATTATCAGAGCAATCCCTACAAGCAGCAGCCGTTCACATACAAACAGCAATAAAGATCATAAAGATTCATATAAAACAACTTTCAAAAGAAGTTATATTTTGCACGGTTCATTTTACAGATTACTGTAATTTGAAACTTCTCTCGCGAATACCTCGGGGAGTAGAACAGGCGAAACAAAACTAATTTTTGGAGTTCACTACCGCTCTGTAATCTATTTACTTGCTCAGATTTGAGTTGAATTTGTATTTTGTATTCTATAATACATTCACCATCTTCAGTCTATTCATTGAAGTCGACATGAAATCAACAAAATAAACGTGTATAATTTATTTAAAAAATCCTTGATTATTTTATTACAAAATGAATCTGTTTAGAACAGATAGAAATATATCTAATAAAATAAGAAATAATTTAGTCATATACAACATTTTTAACGCTTTTGAATGTCAAGTTTTTTGCTTAGCTGATGTAACGTTTAACTCAAGTATTTTTTTTAAAATGGAGTCTGTTATTGTTACAGAGTATGGAAGAAAGAGAAAAGCGGCACACAACCCACAAAGAGCAATTAGCGAGGGAGCAAAGATTCCTCCGGCGGCGGTTGGCGCAGCTCCGATCATCCCCTCGAGATCACAGCTTGCGAAGTCTCTCTGAGAGCTCGATGACGCACGGGCATTCCACACGAGCAGATTCATTCTCGTCACTGGAGTCGTCATCGGGCGTCTCCACAGCTGAGAGATCACCCTCATCAGTCTCCGAGAGCGGTAAGTACGAGTACAAAGGTTCCTCCAGTACACTTAGATGGTGCAACTACCTGCCGAGGTTATATCTAGAGACTGCAGTATGGGGTTCTTCAAGAAGAGTATATTAAGGTTTCTTACGGGTCGGCAACGCTCACCTGATACCACTAGTGTTTCAGGCGTCCATAGGATACGGTAACCGTTTACTATAAGATTGGCCATATGCTCGGTTGCCATCTACGGTGTAAAAAAAAATACTCTCTTTTATATACACTTACGATCAGAGACATAGTGAACGCAATACTTATTCTATATGGCTGGGTATAATTTAAAGCAACCTGGCAGCGAAACGCTCTGAACTGGACTGTAGGGAAAAATTTTTAAGATAAAAAACGTGACATTCATAAGCGGTTAATATGTTCTTCATGAATAAATGATTTTTGATTTGATTTGATAGTGCGATGGAATGGAAAATTATTAAAGTTTTCATTTCAAATAACTGTTTAATCAAGTTTTAAAATCATTTCAATTTTCAAACTTCGACACAGTCTAAGCAATTATATTTTTTTCTATATATTTCTTGTAAGTTTTTCAATTACCGGTCTATCTAAGAAAGTCGTCGAGACTCATGATTTTCCTTTTTCAGTAGATTTTACAGTTTGTATTTAAAAAGAGTTTTAACATGAAGGTTATTTATTAGTTTATAAACGACGAACTATTCAATTTCTTTCATACTAGCTGACCCCGCGAATTCCATACCGCCTCAAAATTAAATATCATAATATGTCAATGGTTTTTGAAGTTTTGTTACGCAATAAATTTCTGAACGCGCTCTATTTCACAGGTCCGAACAGTTTCTATGGGAAAATAAAATTGTTGTTTTTACTATTTTCCATGCAATTTCTTTAGACTTTCTTACCACTTAAACAAATTCAAATTCAAAAATCATTTATTCATGTAGGACATTTTAGCCGCTTATGAACGTCAAGTTTTTACATTATAATTTTTTCCCTACCGTCCTTCTAAGACTAGCTGGGCCCACGGTTTCACTGGCGTAAAATTTATAATGTATGCGTTTTGGTGATGTATGTATTTTATGGTAAAGTTAATTAAAATTCATTCAGTAGTTTTTACGTGAAAGACTAACAAACATCCATCCATCCAGACTAATAAACATCCGCGTTTATAATATTAGTAACATGTATACACATAAAATTGATAGGGAGACATATATCTTAGAACATCACCCAATTTTACGGCAGATCACGTGAAGGTACGGTTTCCGAATTTCACACAAGTGCCGTTAAATTTTCTTTAGTGGCGTTAAGAAATGAGAACGGCGCCATCCCAAAGGAAATAGCAGGTCATCCTGGGACCAACAAATATTTTATTCAATAGACTGAGAACGATATACGAATGATAGTGAAGGAGGTGGAAATGTAATGAAACTGCTCGGTTTTAACTTTAACCATGGGTTATAATTTTAACCGTGGTATACTGATTAACAAGAGTCCATAACTTTTTTGTTCGTTAATCGATTACAATAATATAAACATTAAATTGTTAGTGAAGATTACCGCAATACATTATGAAAACCACACGCAAATCTGTTAAGCCGTTTTCTGAGATTAGCGCAAACAAACACATTCAAAAGTTTATGTACATTTCGTAATGTTATGCCCTATATAACTTATATTATAGTAATAACTCTGAACAATTACCAGAGCTCCATCTAGTCCCGCAATAAGCAAAACTGATATAAATACTTAGATGTTCTTTTGTAAATACATACCTAAAATACATAGAAAACACCCAGATACATAGATACATACAAACAATCATACTCACGAATATGATATCACCGTGCGAGGAATCGAACCCGCGACTATCGGAAATAAAGCGGTGTGCAAAAACCACCCACCGAAGTACTCTAATTGTGATGTTCATGTTTCAGTGCTTGTTTCCGATTCCAAATCCGATATAAAATGATGATAATTTAGTACGAAATTTCTTTAAATAAAATTTAAGTGACTTTTCAAGTAATCTTGTTCAAATGGCTTATCTTTTCATTTATGAAGATAAACTAGATTTTTTTTCATTATCCGACGGATTTAGCTAGAAGTAAATCTTTAACGATATTATAAAAATAAAGTGGGTTTATTTGTCATCTTAACGAGTCATCCAATCATGAAACTTAGTATATAAAAACATAGCATGACGGCCTCGGTGGTCTAGCGGTTTAGCACACGAGCCTACTTCCAATTGTCGCGGGTTCGATCCTCGTATGAAACAAATATTTCTATTCATTTGTATATTTGGTTTATTGTATTTTATGAGCATAATTTACAAAAATATATTAGCATTCTACACTCCTCTATGTAAACTAGTAGCTGTGCCCGCGACTTCACCCGCGTTAAATTACAGTATATAAATTTCAATAAAAAATATAATCTATATGTTAATCTGATGCATAAGCTGTTTCACTGTAAAGTTTCATCAAAATCCGTTAAGTAGTTTTTACGTGCAAGAGTAACACACATTCATACTCACAAACATTCGCGTTTATTATTATTATAATATTTATTATTATTATATTTATTATTATAAGGGGGGCTGTCTGAAAGTCAGAGGTGTACAGATACACAATGAGGTTGTCCTTATATCAGCAGCAGCTCCTGTTGCCAACTTTGTATAGTTAATTTTATAATTTTGATAATCTGTTAATGTTGTCAAAAAAAGGTTTTATCTATCTGATACGGACATAATACGAACAAACATCGGCAAAACAGCGTCATTGTGAGAGGCTTAGTCAAGGGCTGGAATAGGCCCTCCCGCTATATTGTTACCTTTTATTTATGCATTAACTTTTGCAATTTAACTGTCAGAGACACACTTATTCTGGGGATTCGCGGACGCACATAAATCGCTGATCCATTGTCGACCGCCCAGCTAAGTTTACTTTCATCATAGCAGTATTCTTTTATTGTGCTTTTTATTCCTGCAGGATTGATATGGTAAACAGGCGGGTTTTATTGACCGTATAAATAGTTGTGGAAGGCGATTAACCGTCTCATTAGGCCGGGTAATGTCGTATTAGACCTTATAATTCGCGTCGACGCTGTATTTATGATGACCTATTGGGGAGGCTTTTGCTCGGCTCGTTTGTATGCAGATTCTGATGTCGTAAAAATAAATATTTGCATCTCTATCGAATGTTTAGGGTAAATAGGTCGCTCTCTCGGTTTAAGCGATGTAGTGTACTTAGTATTGATTCTTGTGGCGCAGATTTTGGGGTTCGTTTTTGTTTGTTTATTTTTTTCTTGTAACGCAATAGATGCCAGTTATTCTTGTACGTAATATATTAATGATAATAATGTCTACTACATCTACTCTATATCACTCTTCAAAAGAGGAAATAGATGAAAATGAAAATGATCTTATCACCAATCACATAAAGGAAAGAGCTCACAATGAGTACAAACACACTCTTTATTTTTAAAATTTAGTTTTAAACATGGAATGATGGTATGTATGTAATACCACCACACATGTTGTATATAACTGGCTAATGAATACGGTTAGCGTGCACGCAGCGTGAACGCAGCGTGCCCGTCACTTCCCCGCCGGCAATCGTATTACAGTAATCCAGTGTGGGAAGTGACGCGAGTAGACCGCTCGGCGCCCGCCCGCCCGACGCGCGCCAAACGCTGTATATTTACTCATATGTATCTACAATCTATGTATAACCTATTAATTGCTATACTGAAATGAGACCTAGTATTTATTATGCTATTCCAATGATGTTTGCCATTCGATGCATGTAAATAAAAGAAATCAAAAATAATTTATTCATGTAGGATATTTTAGCCGCTTATTAACATCAAGTTTTTGGATTCAATTTTTGTCCCTACCGTCCAGTTCCATATTCCATTGAGAAAAACTAGCAAGAAATTCAACTATATTTCTTTTTTTTTTTAAGCTTATTTCCATTGTGTATAGTAGGCATATAGATGTCTATGTCTAATTGCTTTTTTTTAAAGCCGGTTTATTTACATTGTGTGCTCATATAAGTGTCTATGTCTAACATTACACTACACGTCCTATGTGGCTGTAGCCCACTCGTGCATAAATGAAGTATCTCCTTTGAAAGTGTACACTATATCCTGAGGAGATAAAAATCATCGCTCCTGGGAATATCCTTCAATTAAAAAAAAACGAATGTTTAAATTCCCTGATTAGTCTAGGTAGCGAACTTTAAAAAAAAGCGAGCACAACAGATCTATGCAGGTCGCAGTGATACAGGTGTACCACCTGACAATAGCCCAAAACCCTCAATAAAAAAATCCTTTAAATATGCACTCGTTATTTTATATAACAAACTACGAAATTTTACATTTATAATATTAGTAGGATTATTATATATACATATATATATGTATGTATGTATGTATGTTGTTTGCATATCGGCGGTGGGGTTTGTTTGCGCTCATTGAAGTAGAACTCTTCAGAGGCTGCGCTCAGCCAAGTGGTCACAGATGTAGCGTTCATATGAACAGGTCAAGTCACACTGCATATATGTAATATATATATTTTTGACTGCCTCAGTGGTCTAGCGGTTTAGCATACCGCCTTAGTTCCACTAGTCGCGGGTTCGATTCCTCACACGGCACAAATATTTGTATTCATAAATATGGTTGTTTGTCTGGGTGTTTTCTATATGTAATATGTATTTGATTTTACATTTATATTATCTCTGGTTTTTCTATAATATATAAATACTCAGTATTCGTGACATTTTTCAAAATTGCATTACATTTCGTCATGTTGAAACCAACGAAAAACGTAAGCGGTCGTGTCTTTTTTGCAAAAATAATCGCCAGCTATTCCAGCATAGAGCAAGGACGCCATTAGCGCCGGTGATTTACGACTAGCACGCGGCTTATCGTGCTCTCCCGTTTATTAATTACACCTAGCACTGTACATTACCCCCACACCTACATTGTTCGTCAATTCAACGCACCCCG